TTTTTCCTCTCCAGTTTAGCACCATTCTCTTAGAAGCCCAGGCTGGGAGCCCGCTAATTGCAAGGAAGGGTGGGCCCGACAGGTCAGGCTGGGCCTAGCAGGTTAGGCTCAGGTGATCTAGGTTTAATACCCACATCTCCCTTGGGACTCTCTGGCCCTGGTTTCCCCAGATGCAGAATTGAGATGGACTTATTATCATCTTGAGTGTAAGCTTCCTGGGGCACGGAACTGCTCCTTCTACATTTGTGCAGGGCCCAGACCCTCACCTAGGTTCTACAGCTGCTGGTGGAATACAAATAAATAAATAATGAATACACTTGAAGAAAGAAAGGGCTCATGGGAGACTTTTCCTCCCATGCATAGGGAGATAAAGTCAATTCGTTTCAGAAGGGACGAAGCAGTAAAATGGTTTCATTGACCAAGCAAAATACTTGCACAATCGCCTGTCCCCACCTTCATGTACAGACCAGTTATTCTGGGTTCCTACTGAGAGCCTGGCTTGGCTCTCAATAATTTACAACTTGCTGGGATTTAACACAGATGCGCCCAGATCTCCAGAGAAAATCTTAAGTTTTGAGGCAGAAAAGAGCTGGGTCCCTGACTCAGGTACATCACCCTAGCGCCTCTGAAGTCCATGCAAGGTTGATTTAACACCAGTGAAGATCTGGCCCTGGAACCCAGGGCATGAGGGCCAGAGAGCCCAGCTGCCCTCTCTCTTTGGTAGCAGAGCTGTGCCAGCTAAAAGTCCAGGGAATGCTTGTGAGCATTCTGCTCAGTCAGTAACAACAGGCACTGACAGTTTTCATCTAGTGCTCTGATCAGTATTTTCCACCATTATGGATGACAAATACAGACATTCACAATGCACGCCTCCGCAGCCAGGGTGGTCACTATGCTGCATAATAGAGCCATTCAGATCTTATGGGCAGCAACAGAGTGAAAACTCCAGGCACCTTCGTGCCATACACCCAAGCTCCAGCTGCCTGAACCACCAGTTGTTTTCAGTACAGGGCTTATGACACGCAGTTGGTTCATTCTAATTTTAACCAACAGAGGGAACACCCCCCCACACACACACACACGCTATTTACAAAGATCTACACCTGGTCCCCACCTCCACTCTGCCATCACAGTAGTCACACCAATGGAAAGAACTGCATTGGCTTGCTGTTGCTATAGCAACCCGACAACGCTACACACCGCTGAGCCTTTGTGGTGTTCGTTTTTTTTTAAAAATGCAAATTTCTTTCAGGATAGCAACCCCCAAGGACAAAATATGTGAAGCATCAGCCCCTCCGAGAGCGCCTCCTCACGGGGTTTGTGAATATTCTCTTTCCCCTTCACAGCTTGCGTTTTACAATCTGCAAGGGAACGGCCAGCAGGAAAAGCTGACTTCCTGGACGTTTAAAGCTTGCTCTGGGGTTCCACAGGCGCTGCTTGCTTATTCAAATTCATTTTTCCTTCCTCATTTTAAAACTGTCTGTAGAGACTTCAGATTAGGATGTTTGAAAGCAAAATAAAAATCCCTCCAATGCGCCCCCTGCAGTCTGACAAGTAGTACTTCAAAAATTACCATCCATTATGGAGTTGGTCCCGGTGGCACGGATGTAAATTAGGATTAACACTATTGAAGTCAGTCTAGATTTCCAGCCGTGTAAATGAGAACAGAATCTGTTCCCCTTTTTCTAATCTACTATGAATTTAACATGTGACCTGACCAAGGGAGGTGCCGCAGATAATGACCAAACCTGTTTATTTTAGATACAAATGCATTATCCCTTGTGATAAGACACTATTGCACTGAGGGTGATGTGAACATGTTCACAAGTCTTTAAGCCAAAGCACAAGTCATGTGTCCCCCCCCACCCCCGATGGCAATGAATTGACATTGCCAGCCTTTCAGGTCTGGTGTAGCAAGTCAGAAACAAACAGAGACTGGGTGGCGAATCTGTTTGCCTGGTGTCCAAAGGCAAAGCTGTGCCAATTGCTGTCCAGGTGGAAACTGGATTTTCCCCCACCTCCACCCCCTAACTAGCAGGATATAAAAAGTGAGTAAGGAGGGGCCTTTCCTGATTTGCACTCCGTCGCCATGTTGGTGCCAAGTCATTTTGCAAGTCAAAATTCAGAGGGATTTTATTTTTATTTAAAACAAGAACCAAACAGCTGCTCCGTTCAGAGGCTAGCCCAGCCACGCAGCAGAAAGTCAGCTCCAAGTCTGCTGTTTTACAACGGCTCTACAGTCAGGTCAGAGGATCCTTGTTTGCATCCCAGAATTGTGAACATAAAATGGTATTTGCAAAACCAATTAACTGCCCATTTGATTAAAAGTACCTTCCTGGACGCCTTGCTGAAGACAGGGGATTTCAGAGGTGTGTGTTTATGTTGCAATGTCAAATGACAGTTATGAGCAAAGGCTCAGCAATTTGGGCTCGTTTAGTCTGCAGAAGAGAAGAATGAGGGGGGATTTGATGCCAGCCTTCAGCTACCTGAAGGGGAGTTCCAAAGAGGATGGTGAGAGGCTGTTCTCAGTGGTGACAAATGTCAGCATGAGGAGCAATGGTCTCAAGTTGCAGTGAGGGAGGTCTAGGTTGGATATTAGGAAAAACTTTCCTAGGAGGGTGGGTGGTGCAGCACCTAGGGAAGTGGTACAATCTCCATCCCTACATGTTTTTAAATCTGGTCTTGACAAAGCCCTGGCTGGGATTAATTAGTTGGGGCTGATCCTGCTTTGGGCAGGGGGTTGGATTCAATGACCTCCTGAGGTCTCTTCCAACCTAGGATTCTATGATAATAGAAGAATTAGTTGCATTTTCATGCTTACATTTAAAGTGGTCTGAAAAAAGCAGGCATGTGTAAGGGGCAGTATTATCTTAATCTGCAACAAGTCTCAGCGGGGTAGCCACGTTAGCCTGTATCTGCACACACAGGTCTCCATGCATCTGAGGAATCGACCTGCCAGGGTGACTGGGCAAAAGAGCCAGAGCTCTGGCCAGGAGCTAGGTGGCAAGTTGCAGAGCTGCTGGAGAGCTCCTGTTACTTTGCCACATGCAGGCTGCAGTCACTTTTCACTCTGGACCAGACAGTATCAAATCTGATCAGCCAGCTAAGTAGCCTCCCCCCAAAGCAAAGGGCCACAAGCTGCAGCCCCTCCAGCCCTTCTCCAGCCAGAGAAAGCCACAAAAAACGCAGCCCCTGCCGCGTCACCTGCCTGCTCCGTGCACCCCACCCCTCCGGTGGGTTTCTGC